AAACTGACCAGATGTTTTCTCTGCAAGGTCAAAATGGAAAAGCCTCCCCATTGTCTTCTCCTTCACAAATCCTGTCTTAAGGGTATGTCTGTGTTTGAATAAGGGTGTGAGCCTGTGACCTGGCTCAGGAACTATGTATTGGTCATTACAAAAGACTGGCCAGGCTCCGTAGGCAATCCAATCAAGTAACCTGCCAGACAAGAGATAAACAAGGAGATATTCAAATTTCTGTTTTAGAGCACCTTTGCTGTGATGTATATATGAGGTTTCTGGGGGTGGTCTTGATCTATAGGATGGGAATTTCAAAAGTCTTTATAAGCCCTTGCACAGCATTTTTCTGGGTCCTCCTCCTTTCCTGCATGTGAGGGGAGCACCATGTTGCAACAGATCAATAAAGATCAAGCTTACTAGCTGCTTTGCTTCTCAATATTCTCTGGTTGGCCTCTGGTATTCTCTCCTACCAATAGGGAACCTATGTAAGGACTCTATATGGGCTCTTGGATACCCCATAAGGGAAAAGGGCATATTTTTATTTACAACATAGGCAACAGATTAGTTGAATTCTGTCCTGTGTATCGTTTTACTCTAAAACAAGCCCCACTATCTTCAATGGAACTTACTCTTAAGTAAGTGCATAAGATTGCAGTCTTGCAGTGGCAGTGCAGTCCTATGCATGTTGAGACAGAAAGGAGTCAGTTCCAGGGTGTTTCGGGGAGTTCACTCATGCACAGCCTTAGTTGTAGATAGGAAGTCAAAGACTTGCTGCCCAGATGAAATGATGAATGTTCCCTTAATTGCAGTGCTAAAGGCACCTGATCCTATCTCACCTCTCAGCCACTAAGTGAAGAATTCATCATGAATGTAAGATTGGGAAGGACTCCTCAGCTGTCATGGTTAGGAAATAGGAATCGGAGGCTGACATGCCAAAAAAGCTTAAAAGGCAATAAAGGTTTGGGAGAATGGTGTGTTTGCAAATCTGTCGACGTTAATCCCATTTAAAAGCAGGCGCGTTGCTTGCTTATAAACCTCCAGCCATATCCATCACTCAGTTACGAGCACTTTTTCGTGCACACAGGGAAAGGCTGCATTTTGTGAAGTTCTTTGTTATGACTTCGTAAGGAGAAAGCTAAACAGCGTTTGGAGCGAACAGAGTTTGTCTTGAGGTGCTCAAGCTGAATGTTTATTTGAGGCATGCTTTGTGGTTTCGTCTCAGTGAAATGATCTTTGCAAAAGGAGAAGAGAAGTTTTATGCTTTTTGCGGGTCGGTACCCTCCTGTTGTGCTGCTAGAGGTGCTGTGGATAACCAAGTTCAAGGTTCTTGGATTTTTAATATCAAGCAGTCTATAAATTGATTAAATAAGTGAAAATATAGTGCCTACTGCTGCTATCACTATGCAGAAGCTTGGGAACTGTCCCAAATGTAGGAATGAAATGCCTTAGTTCGCTGTGCATGCATGTGCTTTATAATAAGATGGAGAGGTATGGCATGGGATTCATTGATAGCTATAAAAAAGGTAAAGGACCCCTGGACAGTTAAATCCAGTCAAAGGCGACTATGGGGCTGTGACACCCATCTCTCTTCAGGCTGAGGGAGCTGGTGTTTCTCCTAAAAAAGCATGCTAATGGGAATAAAGCTTCTCATTCATCAAAATTGTGCATGCAGGGGAAAAATAAATATTAAACACAAGTGTATGCAAGACCCTCCTTCCTCCTCTGCAACCCCCACCTGTAATAGTTGTACAGGGCTGTGATAATATCAAAGCAAATGTATAGTCTTTCTAAAAACCAAATGCAGTACATCCAGTACATTTGATTTCAAAATCTGACTCTACTCTTGTTTTCACCCTTTCTGATTTTTGAAATGCTTTTTGTTACGGCCTTTCGAGAATCAAATTCATATAAATATATTGAGTTTCCAGTGGAAAAATCTAAACCACAAACTCTTAATGCCTTTCCTTTCTCACAGTCTGCCTAGCAGTTCTAAAAGGCAACAAACGCTTGCTCAGTTTCCACCTAACTCTCCAACGGTTTCTACTCATCAACAGCACAGTTAGGAGGAACTGAGAGATCACCTCAGGAAAAAATAACTGCCACAACAACACCAAAAATGATGCTCTGAGCCCCAATGCCCACTTTCTTTCCAGAGCTTTTGTTTTAGTGCACAGCTTCTAGAGTTAGCATACCCGTGTGAGTGTGTGGAAATGCCATGCAGGTATCACGGCAGAGGTATGGAAAAGCTCAAACCAGAGGAGATTCTTAGAACAAAAATACTTAGATAATGCCTCTGCTATGAAGTATGATGTCATGTGGTTGGTCCAAAGGTAACGTTCTCTTAAACAGGTAACATTATCTTAGAGACCAATGAATAGCTTTGTGGGACACACTTTATCTTATGGGCAGGAAAACTGTTGCCCTCCAGAGCTTGTTATAAAAGGTAAAGGACCCCTGGATGGTGAAGTCTAGTCAAAGGCGACTATAGCGTTGCGGCTCTCATCTTGCTTTCATGCAGAGGGAGCCGGCTTTTGTCTGCAGACAGCTTTCCGGGTCATGTGGCCAGCATGACTAAACCGCTTCTGGCACAATGGGACACCATGACGGAAACCAGAGCGCACGGAAATGCCATTTATCTTCCTGCCGCAGCGGTACCTATTTATCTACTTGCATTGGGGTGCTTTTGAACTGCTAGGTTGGCAGGAGCTGAGATAGAGCAACGGGAGCTCACTCAGTTGCGGGGATTCGAACCGCCAGCCTTCTGATCAGCTAGCCCAAGGGGCTCAGTGGTTTAGACCACAGCGCCACCCGCGTCCCATTGATAGCTATGAGAGCACCTAATTGTACTCCAGCCTCAGCATTGCAGGATTGCAGCCAAGATCTGCAGCTGTCCCCTCAAGCCTAAACCATGTCCAGAGAGATCAAAATGTCATAAATGAGGTCAATGAAAGATACAAGAGGGAGTTTAAAAGATGTGAACCTCAACCTGCACAGAAAATGTTTGTTTTCATGCTTATTTACTTTAAAACTCTTCTCACTCATCTTTCTTGTTTGTAAGGTGGTTTACAAGCTTAGCCTGGGAGTCATTTTGAACTCATAGCTGTACATGGAGGCGCAGGTTAATTCTGTGTCCAGGGCAGCTGTCTATCAGCTCCATCTGGTACACAGGCTGAGACCCTACTTGCCCACGGACTGTCTCGCCAGAGTAGTGCATGCTCTGGTTATCTCCCGCTTGGACTACTGCAATGTGCTTTATGTGGGGCTACATTTGAAGGTGACCCGGAAACTACAGTTAGTCCAAAATGCAGCTGTCAGTACCCTGCATAAATATACCTGTCCTTCAGGCAAATGCATTACAAGAAATGGTAGTAAATTTGGTTGTGTAGGTGCTTTTCATGACAGTTCCCATAGCCACATCCCCACAGCCACCCCCTTCTAAAACTATAAAACAAAAGTGAGTTTTTGACTAGTGCAGATATTCTCCCTTCCCACTTTGCTTAGCATCCAGCATGGTGAGGAATTCGAGTGGACTTCAAAGCTTTTGGTGTGATTAAAGACAGGGGTTTCCAAAGTGTGGTCCATGGACCACTAGTGGTCCCTAAGATTGATTCAGGTGGTCCGTCACAGAGACTCACAATGTTTCATTGCAGGTCTCACTTATTCATCTGATTGGCAGGTGCTTGAGATTTAAAAGCAGGAAGAGCTACTGCCTTCATTCGCTGCTTGTGAACCACTAGAGGCATTTTTCCAAGACCTACAGAAAGCAGAATGTTGGAGGGTGTGGATCTTTTGTCTGATGTAGCGAGCCTATTTATTCTTTTCTTAACTAGTTCTTAGATAAATCATGCCAGGAAGAACACACACCCTCCCCCAAATCGTTGTCAGTCTTTAGGGGGCTGGGAAGTAGTGAACAATCTTTCGGGATTCAAACTTGGTTGTGACAATTCAGTTGTTTGTTTACTTAAATAACACACTTCCAGCTGTGAGATAACATCGGCCGTTTCAAAATTCAGCCGCCTACTTCCTAAGCACTTGCAGTGGCTGACTGGTAGATCTTTGCAAAGTCTCACAATGCTCACAGTGTACTTTCTGGGAAATAGATTCCATATCTTGGTTGTGGTTTTCAGACTACAGCACTCTAAACTTTTTTTGCGGCGGATGGGGGAATAGACAGATCAGACCCAAATATTAAATTGAATCTGTTGTGGGGGACTGTAGCTCAGTGGTGATGATTATGATGATGATGATGATGATGAAGAAGAATATCCTGCCCATCTGGCTGGGTTTCCACAGCCACTCTGGGCAGTTTACAGAATATATGGGGGCTGCTCCCTACCCCTTCCCCCTGCTAAATATTCGTATATACTTATTTATACCTTCAATCTGAAGTGGGACTATGGAGAGGCATGTTTGCCTCTTCAGTGAAAACTAGACGCTTGTTGCTTCAATCTCATTAGAGACCCAGCCTGATCCTCAGCCTTGATTTTAATCCATATTATATAGACACTGCAACGTGTCCTGCCACAAATGCTTAAGCTCTCTATATCTTTAGACAAAGAATGATGACCAACTGAGGTACAGAAGGACTTAATAGCTTTGGGGTCCAGGGCTGCATACACACTAATTCATTTGTAGCACAAAAATGTAGCCTTTCTCAATCTGGAATCACCCATGATTGTTCTCAACATGCTACTTTCAATCTAGATTGATACTGGATCCTGCTGTCCACAAGGATGGGTGCGGGTACTTGATATGTGTGTGAAAACCCTCCCCTCGATTAGGCTATCCATGCCTTTCTCTCCCTGCACATACCCAGGGGGAATGAATAAGGAAGTGGTCATTGGGGTCCTGGTATACCGTATGTCCACCTGCAGTGTTATTGGGCAGGTGTGGATACACCTGACATTGCCTGAGCCACCTACATCTGTTTCAAATGGACACACTGCAGGGTAATGAGAGATGCTAAAACAGAATTTGAGGAGCAAATTGCTAAAAACATTAAGACCAACGACAAGCTCAGTTGGTTAAAGTGTGGTGCTAATAACATCAAGGTTGTGGGTTTGATCTCCATATGGGGCAGCAGCATATTCCTGCATTGAAGGGGGTTGGGCAAGATGATCCTCAGGGTCCCTTCCAACTCTGTGATTCTAAGAAGTTCTTCAAATATCTTAGTAGCAGGAGATCATCTGGGGAGGTTGTGGAACCCTTAGATGACAAGGGAGTCAAAGGTATGCTAAAGGAGGATAAGGAGATTGCAGAGAAGCTGAATGAATTATCTGCATCTTTGTTCACAGTAGAAGATACAAAGCAGATCCCAGGGGCCGAACTAACATTTGCAGAAAGGGAGTCTGATGAACCATAGTGGTGACAGTAGATGAAATTCTAGGCCTGATAGATAAAATAAATACTGACAATACACTAGGTCCTGATGGCATGGATGGAAAATAGCCAGAATAGCACCATTTTTTTTTCATGGGACCCAGGGAAATTACCAAGCTTAATGTCTGCCCCGGGGAAATTGTGCTTCTTATGTATGGTATCTGCTGCACCTTGTAACTTGCACCTTGTCTATGTACTGATATGATTTGGGCATTAAAGGCTTGGGCAGAAACCAAACTGGGAGTCCGAGTTCATTCTCTCCCTCTCTCTGTCTCTGTCTCTGTCTCTCTCTCTCTCAAATTAAATTTTCTGTTTTACAATTGAGAATATTCATTTAAACATCCTTAAAATATCAATGACTTCCCTTCTTCTTCTATGGTTCATTTTGCATATCATAAATCCCTGCATATTTTACATAAACTAAACCATTCGGTATTCCATTATTATATCCATCAAGACCTATTTACACTGTTGAATTTAACTTAATTCTGCCAACGTTTTCAAGTGTACACAGTCCCCCCCATATATACAATAAACATTTTCCAATCTCCTTTAAATGAATGTCCTCCCCCCTTATTCTAAATGGTAAGTCCTCAGACTGCACATATTCCATCAGCTTAAGTTGCCATTCTTCTTTACTTGGGACCTCACTCATTTTCCATTTGGGGCTAACGAAACTCGGGCCGCAGTAGTGGCATGCATAAATAACCTTTTTAGACACCTGGGAATTTCCATTTGAATTATCCCCAACAGAAAGGACTCTGGGGTTGTTGTTTTTGGGGGGTTGGGGTTGGGGGGAGTACAGGAGTCCGAGTTCTTCGTCCGGCAGCAGGGGTCAAGACAACAAGCTTCCTTGCACCATGCGGAGGAGCACTCATGTTTCATTAGATTAGACACATCCTGGTGTTGAATCAATGTTTGTGTTTGTGCTGCTTCCAGAGACAGGACAATCGTAATTGTCATCTCTGGTATTTTGAACAAGTCTGTACAACTCACTCTTAGATACACAAAGTGACTTAAGACTCTTGCAACAACAAAAGCCTTCTGGTGCATCAGGGTATGAAGTATCACGTACGGGAAGGATGCTGCAAAACTCCCCTCCCTTGTGCAACTGTTAGCAAGAGAGTTGCAATCATTCCTGTTTCATGTGCTCATTTAACAGAGGGTTTGCTTTCCAAAGCACACTATTATTTCAGAAGCCGATGTTGCAAGGTGCAGCAAGGGATGAATCGGAAAGAGACAGGAAGAAGGGCTTAATTACTTTGTTCTGGAGTTCCTCACTGGAATTTGGTTCTAGTATTTGTTTGTTTGTTTGTTTATACATACCTCTCCATTCTTAAGGAAATCAGCCCTGAGTGCTCACTGGAAGGACAGATCCTGAAGCTGAGACTCCAATACTTTGGCCACCTCATGAGAAGAGAAGACTCCCTGGAAAAGACCCTGATGTTGGGAAAGATGGAGGGCACAAGGAGAAGGGGACGACAGAGGACGAGACGGTTGGACAGTGTTTTCAAAGCTACAAGCATGAGTTTGACTAAACTGCGGGAGGCAGTGGAAGATAGGAGTGCCTGGCGTGCTCTGGTCCATGGGGTCACGAAGAGTCAGACATGACTAGACGACTAAACAACAACAACAACAAATTTGTTTGTTTGTTTGTTTATACATACCTCACCCATCTGGCTGGGTTTCCCCAGCCACTCTGGGCGGCTCCCAACAGAATGTGACTGGAATGTGTTTTGAGAATGGGGATCTCAGGATATGCCAAGTGTCCTTCCTTCACAGGCTGAGCGACACCTACCTCCCCAAACATCTGGAACGGGGTGCGAGGAAGGCAGGATGTCCAAGGCAGGAAACATGACCTCTCCCGAGTGGCCCTAGCCATTGTGGAAATAGCCTGTTGCTGCATCAGGCTTGGAGATTACGCCCCCCCCAAACTCTGTGGTACTACAGGCAGTCGTGCTCAGAGTACACCCACTAATACTGATAGATAAGTCTATTGATTTCAATAGTATGACTAAATAATTAACAAATCCTGCCCTGGCCGAATGGTACCTCTGGGTGTGAATATTGTGCTGCCAATATTCCTCTATCCACCCCAGCCCCCTTGCAATAGTTTTATGTATATACTGTGAGTTACATTTACAAATTTGCAGCAGACAACTACTGCTACCCTGCAACAAATCAGCTGGGCAGTAGCACCTGCTGAACAGAACAGTACAGGAGACAACTGGAATCAATTCCTAGTTCTGAACTGTATTCAAGGCCGAAAAAGAAGTAAGATGAGAGATGTGCTCAGATATTCCAGCCCCCCCCCCTTTAAAACCCAGAACTTCACTTAAAACTATGGGGACACATATGTTTGAGCACTGGAGAATGTAGCTGAAACAAGCACAAGCCAAGAAAAAAATTCAGAGTGGTGCAGCTAGATGGGGGGGGGGGGCGCGCTATCATGCCTGAAAGCGGATGGTGGCATATGGGGACATCCCAATAAGGAAAAGCAGTTACGGTACTTTAAATACCGTGAGCCATTTGCTCTGGGAGAGATCCTTCTGCAAAGCTCCTGCTCTTCCCTTATGGGTTGTAGCGGTTTGGATGGCAAGCAGCTGATGGCGGGAGGAGCCTGTGGGTAACACAGTTCTGCCTTGGGCAGGAAGTGAACTAGATTGCTGTTGTGATAGATTAAAAGATACAAGAGCAACCAGCCCAAACCCTTACAGGCATCCCTGTTTGCCTGATGCATCCAAGTCCGTGTTTTAGCATAGTCAGTTTTTAATTTCTCCTCCTCGCGATGCTTTTGCATGTCCTCGTGATGGGAATCGATTGTGTGTTATCCATCGCTGTTGTAACATGTGCCCGTGATTGCTTTCAATCTTTGACACTAACAGATACAGTCTGAAATACTTGGCTCTCGTCTAACTTGATGCACTCGATGTGTGTTGCTTATGTCCCATGGAGACTTATTCATTGCTTATGTCAGCAATGAAACACAGTGACTCCAAGAGCACTCATGTGGAAATTCTACTGAAAACAATCAGACACTTCTGAGCAAATAGGCTTCAGATCAGCGTGTTATGCAAACCACATGATTGTCAAGCATCCTTCCTGGTATATTTCCATAATTTCTGTTCAGTGGTACCTTGGGTTAAGTAATTAATTCGTTCCAGAGGTCCGTACTTCGCCTGAAACTGTTCTTAACCTGAAGCACCACTTTAGCTAATGGGGCCTCCAGCTGCTGCTGCGCTGCCGGAGCACGATTTCTGTTCTCATCCTGAAGCAAAGTTCTTAACCTGAAGTACTATTTCTGGGTTAGCAGAGTCTGTAACCTGAAGCGTATGTAACCTGAAGCATATGTAACCTGAGGTACCACTGTACATTATTTGGCTAGAATCTTGCTTCCAGTTAGGCTTCTTAAATTTGATTTGTGACTGAGAATTGAAATAGCCTGGCTGTGTGCCGAGAAAAGGTTGCCCACCTCATCTTAGAAGAACCTGTGGCCCTAGATGCTGTTTGACTCCAACTCCCATCATCCCTAACCATTGGCCATGCTGGCCAGAGAGGATGGGAATTGGAGTCCAAGCGCTTCCATAGGGCCACAGGTTCCCTATCCCTGCATGAGAATGAGACGGTCCATTGTTTGCAGTGTCAAGCTCTGGTTGCAAGGGTGGGACAGACTGCTGTTTCTCCCACCTACAACTGCTACATTCTGTCCTGGGGGACGAGTCAAAGCCATTCTACCTGCAGTAGTTGAAAAGTTTGAGTAAAAAAAAACAAACCCAAGGGAGCAACTCCAGCCTCCAAAAAGCAGTCTAATAAGAGCTGAATTTGTTCAGTGGCCAAAGAACGCTGAGTCTTCAATGGGGGGGGGGGGGACCGGACCTGGAAAACTACGGGGAGAAAAGGAATGCAATGGAGTATCTTGAAAGAAGGCTTGGCTGGCTGGCCGCTGGCTGGCTAGCTGGCACACAGAACAGGGCCACTCCAATATGTGCACCAGTTGTATGCATATATAAAGACCTGATTGCATGATGTGTACACTGGAATGTACTATAAAGAACTGGATTTCAATTAACGTTTCACGCCGTGTAACATTAATGTTGCATTCAAAGTCATGCATACTGCCAGGCATAGAGGACTTTCTGAAATTGTGAGTTAGCTACCTATACAATTAAGTCTTAATATAGCAGCTTAATTAAGGAGCCATCAGTCAAGACACTTTAATTAAGGTGTTCATTGCAGTTTGCTCCCGGAAAAGAGCAGCAAGAAGCAATAAGTCGAGTGACCTTTTCCATGTGTTTGAATAGCCTGTGTAGCATTGGCTCCAGGGAATAAGGAGGACAAAAGAACCAAGATGATTCCTTTTATTGGCTTTCAGGGCACTTCCAAACTATTGCTATTTTGGGGTGTGATTCATAAATGGCCTAGAGTTAGGGCTGAGCAGTGAGCTGGCTAAGTGTGCTCCGGATAATGAATTGTTCAGGATAGTTAAAACAAAAAGGGATAGTGAGAAACTCCAAAAGGACCAAGAATGAAGCCGTGGAGTTATTTCAGTGAAGCAGGAAAGCTCCACAAGGGAAATTAAGGAAGCTAAACGAAACCATTTTCAGCTCGGGGTCATGACCAGTGTGCAGTCTCTTGCACATGCACACAACCTTGCTGGCTTTGCTCTAGCTTCACAGTTGGAGGTGGTATGTCTCTGAATACCA